ATTAGGGATTCACTCCTTTGGTTATAAAGACTTGAAGAAGTTTGATTCAGAATCTCCAGGGTGGACTCTGGAGATTGGCTCCAGGGCATAAGTTTTTGTATAGCTCCGAAGCGATTCAGGCCAACACCCTGATGAAAAGCCATGACTTTAGAGAATGTTCCAGAGGCCAATCTTGAGGTATAAGTGCCTTGGAACATGTCACCCCCTAAGCTGTGGTCAATAATGGCACCTGAGAGCAGGGAAGGGGAAGGAAAGGGGCTCACACCTTGATAGCACAGCTCTGTGCTCTGATCCCTGCTCCACGGCCAACTGGCTGTAGGACTAGGACAACTCCCTCCTCTTCTCAAGCCGTCTATATAACATGCAGGGATTAAAAATCTTGATCTACTGACCCAGGAGGTCAGACACTGCCTGGGGCCAAACCCCTGCCCCACCATTTACAGGTGAACTTGGGCCACTTGTTGAACCCTGCTGAGCCTCCGTTTGCTTATCTGTAAAAATGGTGATGATAATAATAGTCTCTAGTAGTCTGGCAACCATAGCCTCCGGAAGTTGTTGTGAGGATTAACTGAGCCAGTACAGGGAAGCTCTTAGAGGGGCTGTATCTGGCACATAGTTGAGTGCTGTCGCCACTGTGACTCACACCTCAGTCCCTCTCCTGGGTGGTGAGATCCCAGGCAGGTCCCTTGGAGGGGGTGAGCTGGAAGCAGCGCTGGGGATGGCTCAGAGGGGAAGCTGAGCAAGGAGGTGCAGAGGAAACCCCTCTAACCAGTAACAGCAATATCAGTGACATCACAGTAACACAGGGCTGAGAGTCCAGGACTCCAAGCTCATTGGCCCCCAGATGGTTCCCAAAAAACCTAGGCCCACCCATCCCAGCTCCTCACTTCCTGGCCTCTCAAAGAGGCTCTTTGTCCAGAGGGTATCAGAGGCCAGTTCCGCCCCACCGGAGCCTAATCAAACTGCAGCGCCAGCCGCCAGCCGGGGACAAAGGGCCCTCACAGGGCTCTACCCAGGACACGCCTGCCGTCCCCCAACTTCCCCAGTCCAGGTGGTGGAGTGGGGCCCACGCATGCAGCCTAACCCAGATCAGAGGCAGCCAGGACAGAGGCCAGGATGGGCTGAGAGGGCAGGCGGGAGGCCCTAGATATGGGGGCAGCAGGAAGGGACTCAGCAGGAGGGGTGCTCAGAATCAAAGAGTCCTAAAGTTCCCCGTTTGGGAGGCATTGAGCAATTTTTTAAAGTAAATAAATAAAGCACTCAGTCTGTAGTAGCTTCCTGTCACCTGGCCCCAGGATGCTCTGCCCGGCTGCCGCCTGGTGGCCTACCACCTCCCCACTGCGCCTGCAGAACTTTTGTCCATAATGTCCCATCCCCTGCTCCCTCCTGTCACTCAGGCTTTGCTCAAAGACTCACTCCCTGACCCCTGACCCCAGACCCTTCTCTGGCACTGTTGCCAATCCCTCTCATTCCCTTCTCTGTACACCTACTCCAAGCAGGTTCTGTCCCCACAACTCTTATCGAGGTCCCCGGTGACCTGCCTGATGTTGGGCCCAAAAGCCAAGCCCCAGCCCTCGGTTTGTATAACCGGCCAGCAGCGCAGACATGGGACACATCCTCCTCTTCTGGGAAGGCCTTTCTCCGCCTTCCTGGCAGCTCCCCTGAATGTCAATGTCAAGTGTCCTCTCCTCATTCCTCGTTCCCTTCCCCAGTGTCCCTATGCTGTCTCTGGCCTTAACCACCTTCTTTCTTCAGAAACTCATACCTCCAGCCCCAACCTTTCCCAGGAGCTCCAGATTCCTATGCCCACCCTTGTTTCTGGCCATCCACATGGCTGAGTAATGAGCATGTCAAGGTCAGCATGCCCCTGCCAACTCCAGGCCACCCCGCCCTTAACCTGCCCTCTGCAGCCTGGCAGCTTCGCGCCCTCACCCATCCTCACCCTTCCTGTCTCCCGCACCCAACCTGGGTAGATCCTGCCTCTTCCATCCTCAGAACAGACCCAGTATCTGACCGCCTCTACTGCTCCCATCGCCATCCCCACTGGAGCCTGCCAACAGACTGCCCCAGCTTGAACCTTGTCCCCTGCTCACTCTGGAAACAAGGCCAGCGAGTGCCCGGCAGCACTGCCCTACCTGCCCTCTGACCTCTGCCCCTGCACCTCACCCCAAACCCCTCCCCCGGCCATTTCTCGAATATTCCAAGCTCACTCTTCACTCTGCATTTGCTGCTCCTTCACCGGCATCGCCCTTCTCACAGACCCACAGGGCTCACTCCCTCGGGTCTAGCTAAAATGCCACTGCATCAGAGTAGCCTCCTCGGGCTGCTCTCTGTTGAAAACAAAACTAAAACAATTGTGCCCCCAGCCATACTCCTTGTTTCCTCCCTGGTGGATTTTCTCCATGGCATTCATCACCCACATCCTACGCTCCATGAGAGTGGGGTCTTCACCTGTTTTGGTTAATGCCAGCATCTAAAATAGTGCCTACCCATAGTAAGAGGGGCTCCAGAAATATTTGCTGAATCAGAGAATGAATGAGCTCAGCTGAGGGTTGAAGGAGAAGTGTGACTTTGCCAGGTGGCTCGTGGGGAAGAGATGCCAGGCAGACAGAACAGCGTGTACAAGACTAACGCATAAGAGAACACCATGTATTCAAGGAGGCCATGGTGGGGGGAAGGTGGAGAGTGAGTTCAGGCCTGAGTTGGGCAAGAGCCTGGTCATGAAGGGCATTTGTTTATTCATTCATTCATCCATTAAATATTTATTAAGCTTTATGTGGAGCCTGGCCTTCTGCCCATCTAAGGGGATGGGACTTAATCCTGAAGGTACCTGGGAGCCATTGAGACATACAGAGCAAGAGCAGCACATCTCATTGCTGATCACAGTGCCCCATAGTATGGAACCCCAATCTGTCCCCTGGTCCACCCCTCGGGGGGCCCACTCTGCGGCTGCCTTGGCTCCAGGGCAGCCCTTTGGCAGTCTGGGAAGAGCATGTCCACTGAGGATTTTCCTGGCAAGTCTGCACAGTGACTGAGTGTCCACATGAGCCAGCCAGCCACCTGTGACCCCCTCAGCATGGGGGTCCCCACGACCCAGACAGAGGACTTGAACTTCCCAGGCTGGAAGAACCTCAGAGAACCCAATTTTTTCATTTCCTAGATAGGCCACCAAAGAGAAAGGACTTATTCAAGGTTATGCTGTGTATCAGTCACAGCTCTTTTGTTTACAAGAAACAAGCAGTCAATTTAGATGGACTTAGAAAAAAAAGGAAGAACAGTTGTGGCTGACATAACTAGGATGTTGGAGGGTGAACTTCAGGTACAGCTGGATCCAGATGTCAAACAATGGCTGGCTCAATCTGGGACACATGCTGCCCCTTGAACCAATCACTAGGCCAGAGGTCTGAAGGACTCCCAGTGGCCAAGCCTAATAATATGCCTAGCCCTGGAGCGATAGTGAGATGGGGGTCAGTGCCAGCCCCACATGACACTCAAAGACTGAGAAAGGGGTAGGGTAGGACCCCAAAGGATAATCAGAGTGCTGACCTGAGAAAAGGGGGAAACAGAAGCAGATGTCTGCCACACCCAGACTCAGTGATGGAACCCAGACAAGAACCCCACCACTCGACTCCAAGCCCTCCTCGCACCCACTTCCCCAAGCACGTCAGCAAGTAGACATCAATGTTGAGGACAGACGTATTGGGCCAGGCTGGGGCTGAAGTCAGGGGGTCAGTTACTGGGCCAGTTAGGAGGTCGTCTAGGCAAGAGGTAGTGAGCCCCTTGACAGAAACTAATCAATCTCCTAATTCCCTGACCCACTTTCCCACTTTAGCATTTTGCTGAGGGAAACATCTATCACTTCTTCAAAATGAATAATACGTCAACACTACTTTAATGTATTTTTAAGTGGTTAGAATCCACTTTATTTTAAATCAAAGAAAAGGACACATATCTTTCCTGACCTGTTTAGACCCTCGGGGCACTGGCACAACATGGCTGCTGCCTAAGCAGTGTGACGCCCGAGCATCCCCCCAGTGTGATGCACACAGCCAGGCCCTCAGCAGCCCTGTATATGGAGGAGAATGCAGCCCAATAGAGAGAAGCCTAATTCTGGGAAGAGCGGATGAGACTAAGAACATCCACTACCACTGGCAGTTGTCCATGCCATTTCTCTGCAAAGTTGTTTAACTGGACGTTTTCATTACTTACAGCGACCCACAGCCTTTGGCCAACTCATCCCACTTCTGGGAAGACCTCTTAAAGATGTCACTGGGGATGTGAAAAAAGCTTTGAGTGCTGAAGATGTTCATTCTGGCATTATTTACAACAGAGAAAACTGAAAATCACCTAAATGTCCAGCCTGGGGGGAGAATGGTAGTGCAAACTAAGACAGGTCCACTCAATGGAATGTTCTGTCTGTTTGAAAATGTTGCCTACAAATGTTATTGATTAAGATGATTTGACTGTAAAAATAGGAACTTAAGAAGCTCAAATCAAAAGGAAGAGCATTTTAAGCATTGAAAGAATTTCCCACAATTCAGTTCTCAGCAGCATAACTGGGAGACACAAACCCTACCAGGTCCAGAGTCTGGCATCTCATCCCAGCTTCTCTCTGACTTCAGTTGTGTGTCACTATAGCCCAGCTTAGCAGCTCTACCCCCAGAGCTTACCTACTACCCCAGCTCAATCTCATAGTTGTTTGATTCAATCTACTCTTCTGATGCAAGAAAAAGAGAAAGGGCCAAAGGGTGGGAGGGAGGAGAAAGGAGAAAAGAGAAAGGGGAAAAAAAGACGTTCTACAAGGGCTTGCCCTGGGTCAGGCAATTTCCCTGGTCCAATCAGCTGTGCTGGACCAGGAGCGCTACGCGCACTCCATCAAGTTTCTATTTCAGTTGGGGTGGGGCAAGGCAGTGGGACATGGTTGTTATCTCAAATACTAGTACACAATCAAAGGGTGTATTAGTTATCTATTGCTGCATAACAAATTCCCTCCTCCAACATTTAGTGGTTAAAGCAGCGTTTTTTATCTCTGTTTCTGAAGGTCAGAAATTGAGGCGCAGTTTAGTCCGGTGTTTCTGACAGGATCTCTCATGAAGTCAAGTCAAGATGTTCACCCGGGCTTCAGTCTGCTGAAGGCTTGACAGGGCTGGAGGATCCACATTCAAGCTCGCCCACGTGGCCCTTGGCAGAAGGCTTCAACTTCTTGTGACTGTTGGCTGGAGGCTCAGCTCTTCCCACACAGGCCTCTCCATCGGGCTGTTCATGACTATCCCTGACAGCTGGCCTTCCCAAGAATAATGATCCAAGCAAGAGAAAATGATTAAGACTGAAGCTGCAGAGTCCTTTCTAACCTAATCTCAGAAGTAACACCCCAGCAGTTCTTCCATTTCTTATTGGTCACACAGACTAACCCTGGTACAATGTTGGAGCAGGAGGCGAACACCAGAAGGACAAATCATTGGGGGCTGCCTTTGAGGTTGGCTAATACACAGGGAAAACTCACTCTACAGCAATAGTTTGAAAGGTATACGCGCTGTCTAATGTTTAACACGTGAACCAAGTGGAGTGAACCATGTCCAAAAGAAAGCCTTCTTCTTAAAGTAACTTTCCTTTGATTAATCCTACTGGGGGACAGAGTGCCTGACCCACCAGAGCTGAGACTGGACACCTACAGGGCGTGGGAGTGAGTGATTCTCAGCACCTGATTTTCCATATGCAACTAGAGTCACAAGATGGTCGCAGGACCAAGAGCGCTTGGGGTTCAAACACAGGTAAGTTGTGTCTGGTGGACTAGACGCAGGTACCTAATGGAAGCCAGGAAGGCCTGTCAGGACCCAAAGGAGAAATCCTTCAAAAGAGAAAGAAGAGGGTGGGTGGCAAGCCAGACTCAGCAGCAGGATCCTCAGGATGGAGGAGGTCTTTGTTCCTGATGCATCCTGCCACCTGCTTCTTGGACCTGCTGCTGCCCAGTCACCGCACCCAGGAGGAGGAGGCTGGGTGTGAGAGGGAGCCGCTGCAGAAGATGACATGAGCAGCCCTACTGGGGGACCCTGCCCTCAAGAAGTACTCTTTCCCTTGTTTACCAGCAAACAGTGAGCTCCTGCAGTGACCTGGAGACCAGAGGAGGCAGAACCTGGCAGGACAGGACCCTGATGGAGAGACTGTGGTGTGGTGACTGACAGGGACAGAGGACAATGCAGGTGTGCAAGCACAGAGGATTTGCCCACACATATGACAGGGAAAGGAACTCACCTGAGATGCAGGACTCCTACAGGAGGTAGGGGGTTGGAGCCAGCAAGATGCAGGTGTTACCCCTAACGCTACTGGAGACTTTCATCTTTTATGATTCTTGGAGCCCCAGGGGTGGAGGAAGCTCATTAGAAATCTGGTCCAAACCCCACCTGAGATTGGAATCCCCCATCCACCAGCTCCACCACACATTCAAAGGCTTCACCACTCCCAGCAAAGGTGGGCTCACAACTCCATCAGGAAGTTCATTCCATAATTGGAATAATTGGACAGCTCTGACACATAAAAAGCTCTTGGTGAAGCTTGAGACAAAATCTGTCTCCCTCTGGCCCTCTGGTGCCTCATAAAACAAATCAGCACCCACTCCCCCTGAAGCCCGGTGCTCATCCTCCTCATGGTCAATGCCAGCTCTTCCAAGCACGTCATAGGCCATCAGGACCACTCATTCTCTGAACTGCAGAGTGAGCCATACTGAATACCACCACATGCCCATTAGAATGGCTAAAATCAAAAAGCCTGACCAGACCAAGTGTTTGCAAGGATGTGGAGCAGCTGAGACTCTTATACCCTGCTGATGGGGATGTAAAACAGTGCAACCATTTTGGGAAATCGTCCACATGACCCAGCCCTTTTCCACTGCTAAGTATTAACCCAAAAGAAAGGAAAATATATATATCTACACAAAGACTGGCACACAAATATTCCTAGTAGCTTTACTTTTAACAGTCAAGAACTGAAAACAACCCAAATGTCCATCCAAAGGTGAATGCAAAAGCAAATTGGGGTCTCTCCATACAAATAAACTACTACTCAGCAATAAAAAGGAATGATGACAATATGGATGAATCTAAAAAGATTACACTGAATGAAGGAAGTGAGACACAAAAGTTTACATACCGTATGGTTTCATTTACATAAACTTCTAGAAAAGGCACAGTGATCTAGAGAGAAAACAGATCAGTGTTTGCCTGAGAACAGGAGTAAAGGGAGAGATGGGTGGCTAATGGTATGAGAAAACTTTCAGAAGTGACGGAGATATTAGGTATATTGACTGTAGCAGTGTTCTCACGGGGCATACACCTGTCAAAACTCATCAGTTTGGGTGCTTAGACATGATCAAATTGCATACATTAAATATGTACAATGTATTTTTAAATATGTACAATGTTTCTTAAAAACTGTAACATGCAAGTCCCTTAACTGATGTGCTGTGGCCAAGCTGAAGGCCTCCAGGGTCTGCTTGGCAGAACCCTTTGTAATTAGCACATGGACAGGCCTGAACGATGCTAACTGAGTACCGTTTCCTTAGCAGATTTAGACCTTCTTGAATTTGTGGCTCTGGAAACTTTCTCCCAATACTCCCCATAGGCCATTCAGCAGGTTAACAGCACAGCCAGGAGTGAAGCCCATGTCTCCTGACTCATAGACCAGCTCTCCTCCTGCACAGCATAAGAAGAGATAGACACAAATGCTGTGGAGTGTTGCACCGTTCTCCAAGCTGCTTGACATCTGTAATCTCATTTCCTGGATTAATCCCATTTAACACAGTCGAGTGTGTAATGGATAAGACAGGACTGGGAGAACATACAGCTTGTTTATTTAGGGCAGGCATCTATTCTGATAGCTTGGGGCCCAGGCCAGGCCAATTGTTAAATATCTGGAATAACTCTCTTGGATTAAGATTCTGAGCTGTGGAGTCAGACAGACCTGGGCTGGAATCCAAGGTTTCAACTAGTGGAAGACCTTGAGCAAACCATTTAACCCCTCTAGCCCTCAGTTTCCTTCTCTGTAAAATGGGGATAATAGCAGCAGCAGCCTCATGATACTACTGGGAAGATTCGATGGAACAACAGCAGCCCCCCCCCACGCATATGCCTCCCCAGCTCAGGCACAGATGCATATGCAAACTCGCCCTCACACAGAGTGACCGCGCAGAGCCACATGCCCACTTGCACATATGCACAGTCTCTATGCATGGCAAGTGGGAGGGGATGGGGGTGGTTGCAGCAGGAGCTGCTGGAGAAATACGGGAAGTCAAAAGCAGCCGCACTGACACAGGGACAACACTCCCACCAGGATTTCCAAAAGGAAGGAGGCCTCTCCTGCTGGAGGGTGCTTCTCATCAAGTCAGCAGGTCCCTAGCACAGCCTAAAACACCAGGGGACCTGGGGGAAAGAGAACCCCGAGTCCTGGGAGGAGAGGAGCCTTCTGCCTGGCTCACCCTCCTTCGGAGCCAAGGCTGTGTCAGAACAGCCTTGAGGTTGGCTAATGAGTGCCTGAGTCCCCAGGAGGACAGAGTCGGGGAGTCCTGATGGGCAGAAGGCTGCACAGGGAGTACTGGGGGCACTGAGGCAGGATGACATGATGGACACACAGGTGAGCTTTGGAGTGGGAGCATCCTTCTCTGTCCCCTGGCTCTGTAATTTACTAGCTTTTTGACCCTGGACAAGTTTCTTAACCTCTCTGGACCTCAGTGTGCCCACCTATCAAACGGAGATAATAATATTACCTAGTAGAATATTAGTACATGGTAGGAATACTGGGGGTGCGGAAGTGGGAAGCAGTTCAATGACATCACACATGCCCCTGGACATAGTAAGTACTCAACAGTGTGAGTCACTGATATTAACGTCCCAAGACAGAAAGGGGCCCCTAGATGGCGGGTATCCCATGGACTGCACAGTGACAGCCCGCGAGCCCAAATGCAGCCCACAAGCGCTCTTTGTTTGGCCCACACAGTGTTTTTCCTTTTATCTTTCTTTTTAAATTATTGCCAACATTTTTAAATCAGATTTCACATCAAAATCCAAATTTTCTGCTTCGCTTGAAAAGTTCAAACATTTGGCAACCCTGAGCCCTCATTCCCGCCTGGTAACTACCAGCCAGAGCTGAGCAGCTGCTGCCCGGCTCATCCCAGTACTGCCCAGTCCCAGCTGCCTCCCCCTGCCCTGCCCACCCCTGTGGGCACTGGGGGTTGCACCCCCAGCCTGGGTCCTGTGCCTTCATGAGGCACATGGTGAAATGGAGCTCTAGGCTGGCAGCAACCCACCTGGGGTCACACAGTAAGTCAGGTCACCAGATTCCCAGTCCTTCCTGAACAGCAGTGAGGGGCCAGGGAGAGAAACTGGCTGTGGCCCCAAAGCTTCTGCACCTACAGCCCTTACTGGAGAGATAAGGTCATCACTGAGCATGTGACTGACTTCTCTGAGCCTCGGTTTCTTCATCTGTAAAGTGAGATAGTTAGAGTCCCATCCTCAGGGTAATCACGAGAAGTAGGGGCCTTGGAGCACTGCCAGCATCCAGTAATTGCTTAAAAAGTAGCAGCCATCATTATTATTACAATAACTCCTGGCACGGATGGTACACGCACATGATCTCATCGATTCCTCAAACGAGCTGTGATGTCATTCTACTTGGCCCCAGCGGACAGATGAGGAAATTGAGACCCCAAGTGGGGGAATGAGACACACAGCCACTGAGAGAGGGAGCCAGGATTGGGGATTCCGAGCCAAGTTCAAGGCAGGCCTATCTGGCTCCGAAATAGCAACTCTCCTCATGCACTGGAAGGAAGCCTCTGCACAGTCCACACATAACTACAGAGGGCCTCCTCTGCCAGGCACTGCCGCAGGTGCCAGGGGTATAGTAGGAGCACGGCGAACAAAGTCCCCATCTGAAGGGGCTCAGTCTGAGAAGCAGGGGCCACAGTGAACCAATCACTCGGGCTCCAGCAGTGGGAGGCAGCAGAAGAGGAGGGTGTGAAGGGTGCCTGAAGGGGCACAGTGGGTGCCTCAGCAAGTGCAGGCAGGGCGGGCCACCCCAGGAAGGTGACATAAATTGTGGCCTGAAGGCTGACAAGGAACCAGTCAGGAAACAACTGGGCAGAAAGGCTCCCAACTGGACAAAGGCTGCTGTTTCCCGGTGTGGCTGGAGCAGAGACGGAAGAAGGCAGAGGAGACAAAGCCACAGAGGAAAGCGGGGGCCTAATTACCTAGCAACAGAGCACCCAGTGTAAAGTAACAGTGCCCCCCAGACTGAGCTAGGTTGTCACCACGCACCATCTATCAGGAGACAGACCTCGGGCTCTCTGGCTTTGCTGTGATCATAGACCAAAGGGTCATTTCCCATCATAGGCAGGCCTTTTCCTGGGACAATAAAGCTTACAGCTTCCATCCCTGGTAACACCAAGTTTCCAGCCCGTGGTTGGAGATACACCCAGCACACACACAGAAGCCTGTGCACACAACCACATGTGCACACACAGTCATCCAGAAAGAAGGGGCTTGGGGGGTAGGTGGAGGTAGAGACGGTCAGGGGGAAGGAGCGGTGTCCATATGTATGAGCTTCCAGGCACCAGGTGGCTGGGGGCAGGTCCTCCCAAGCCCCTCATCTCATTGGGGGGTGCAGCCCTCAGTTTGAGGAGCTCTCGCTCCTCCTCTACCCCCCACTTCTGATCTGCTACAAAGCCCATCCTAGCGCTCGCATTCATCCCTATCTTCTACCCTGGCTCTAAAGGCAACAAACTTTCCTGTCTTCATGTCCCCTCACCTGACAGGCGCCACCTTATGCTGGAGAACCAAGACCAAGACGCTGGTGGCAGCTCCTGGGGACTCGACGGGGGACAAACTGGCTTAAAAGAAGACCAGAGCCTCAGCACGGTGATGTCACCATCCCAGAGCACCTGCTGATGGACACCAACTCCACCCTTTGACACACACACACACACACACACACACACACACACACACACACACACACACACACACACACACACACTCCTCAAGTTCCCATTCCATAGCTATCCGGTTGCAGCGATGCTGCTGTAAGACAAAACAGGAAATCTCCCGACTGAGTCAGCCAGATGGGGCGAGGGGCCTAGAATCTGAAACCACCCTGGGATCACCCCCATCCCCACCTCCTACGTGCCATGCGCCGGAGCTCAGCTGCAAGGACTCTCCCCGGGAAGGAGCTCACCTCCCCACCCCAGGCTTTGACGGAGCCCAGCCTTGGATTCAGGGCCCGGAATTCCTGCTCTGTTTGAGCACCGGGCCCCATGCAGAGCTTCCGGTCTCCATCGGCAAGGCGGGGTGGATGATCTCTTAGGGTCCTCCCAGTTTATATACTCCTTTTATGGACATTTGGTTCCCAGCCCCAGGGGCTGAAGTCCCGACAGCCGAGGTGCAGTCAGCACGGGGGCCAGCAGGAGGCGCGCGTGCCTCGTTACCGGAGATCCGCTACCCAAGATGGATATGAGGTTTAGAGGGACCCTGGAAACCCGGAGCCTCACATTCCTCCCTGCTCAGGAAGCTCCATGCAGTGGCAGGACCAGGCCTCTGTGCCGCTGTGCACGCAGGTCCCCCTGGAGCCTGTCCCCACTCCTCTGGGCAACCACCTGTCTCAGAGCTGCTTTATCTGGATTCTCAGAGCCAGGGTGTTAGAGTGCCTGAAGGGGCACAGCAGGAGTGCCTGTTGAGGGTCTGGCCCTGAACAGGGACTGACCCACTGGTGGATGGAGGGGTGGACGGAAGAAAGCCAGCAATGAACAGCCCACAAAGTCCCAAAACAAAACATGACATGGAAACCCCTGGGAGGAGATCATTTTCAGAAATAAAACACTCAGGTCTCAGGAACTGACACTTGGGTGGACATTTGTGCCTGGTATAATGATCTTATGAAGTCCTTACCAAACTCCTTTGGGAAGGAAAATAATACACCCATTTTACAGAGGGGGAAACTGAAGCTTAAAAAAGAGCAAGTATATTGCCCAGGGCTGCCCAGCAAAAAAGTGGAAGAAGCCAGAGTGGAACTCAGATCTGTTTCACTCATCATTCTGCTATTACCAAACTCCAACTCTGAGCTCACCCACTTCCTGATCCCCGAGCAGGGCCCTTTGGGTGATCCCAAGAAGTGGACAAACGCAGACAGGCCCCCAGCAGACTAGCAGCCCTGGGCCTAGGTTGTCACTAATTCTATCCCGACTCTCAACCTAACCCAATTCTAGAGACCCCACTAATAAAAGGTAACATTCACAAAGTGCTTACCTACTAAATGCAAGCACTCCAGATGCAACATTTGTGCGACTCACCAAAGTCCAACATGAAGCATATTATCACCATTTTACAGAAGAGGAAAGTGAGATTCTGAGAGGTTAAACAATTGCCCAAGGTCACACAGCTAATAGGTAGCAGAGGTAGAATTTGAACCCAGGGCTGTCCGTTTCCACAGCCAAGCTCTTAACCATTACTTAAACCCACTTTTTCATGAAAAAGTCTTCTCCTAGCCAAGCCTCAGAGGGACTCTCATTCTGAAAATGCGATGACCCTGCTCAGGTCCCCCAAATATCAGAGTCAAGGCCACAGCCCCAAGCCCTGGCTTCAGTTTAGCTTTCTAGGATTCTCATCCATGGAGGAGAGCTTTGATGAAACTAAAAACAGCCCCTGTCCCCTCTCCAGAAGCATGGAGGCCCCCAGACCTTTGTCCTAAGTGGACCCTGAGTCACACAGATCCCAGCTCTGCCACCACCTCTCTCTAAGCCTCATCTGTAAAATTAAATAGTCAGGGGTGCAGGGCTTCAGGGGGCACTCCTGGCACCCTCGGGGACTCACTGCATGCTGGGTCCCTTCCCTTGAATCTCCTAAAATCCCTTGAATGGATCTAGAAAGCCAGCCATGGAAGACTGTCCATTCATTCATTCATTCAGCAAGCCTCTGAGCACAGCTGGTCTGGGACAGGGTCTGTGCTGGGAAGAAGAAGGCAACAGAGGGGGCTGGTCAAGACACTAACTCTGCAGAGAGACAGGCTGTGCCATTTAAGTTTTGTATGACTTTGGGCAAGTCATTTCACCTGTCTGTGGTTCCATTTATCATCTATAAAATGGGGATGAATGTGTAACCTGCCTCCAAGGCTGTTGGCAGAGCAGGAAATAATGCAGGTGAAGTCTTAGCACAGTACCTGGCACACAGTGAGAGCTCAATGGCGTCAGCTATTTGGATAGCATTGAAGACTTTTCAAAGTCTGATGGCAGGAGGGACAGCTAATCAAATAATTGCCATTCAGTGGATCTCCGCTACAAATACAAAGTTGAACAAGGCACTGGGAGGAGAGAGGGGAAGGAGCAACCAACCCTGCTTGGAGAAATCAGGGAAGACTGCCCAGAGGAGGTGCCATTTGAAGTATAAGTAGGCTTTCACCACAAGGATGTGAGAAGAAGGGCATTCCTGTCAGGAGAACAGCAGCTACAGAAGCTCAGAGGTTCTTGGAGGCACAAAGAGATACTCATTGAAGAGCTGGTTTTATCTGTGGAAGTTTGAGGATGCAGAGCTGAGAAAGGAGGTGGGAGGTAATGGTAAACTACTTTCTTGGCCTGTCTGGGGGACTGGAACACTCTCCTGGGGCAACAGGGAGCAGGAGAGAGACAAGATCCAATCAGTCTTTGAGACAGATGATCCAGGTAGCCTCAGGGTCTAGGAGGATGGCTCAGGGGCAGGGCAGGAGGCAGAGACTGAGGAGGCTGCACCTGAGGCGGCACCAAGGGAATGAAGGGGTGGTAGGGTGGGCATTAGGAGGTGCAGGAACAGTGCAGACTCTAAGCCCCCCAAGACCCCTTCCAGGAAGGAAGAGCTGAAGCAAGCTGAGGGGTGTCGCTGATCACGACCCCATCAACCAGGACCAGAGCCAAGCCTGGGGCTTGAGAGGGGGGCCGCCAGCACACTTAGTCACTCACTCTGCTTATTGCATTTCTCAGAAATTGCTCTCCTTCCCCACACCCTGGCGGCCAAGGCCCCTCCATTAAAGCTGCATTGCCGGTCAGCCTAGCAGAAAGAGCCCAGGTACTGAGCAGCAATGGGCTGGGCACAGAGAAGAGATACACAACCCTGGGGAACTCTGAGTCAGCCTTGGAAGGACCTGGGCTTAGGGCTGATCACACAGGAAGGCAGAAAGGGGAAGTAGTGAGGGGCTTGGACACTAGAGTTGGCCAGCCCGCTTCAAATCCTGGCTCGGCCTTTCACAGCTGTGTGACACACAGCCATTTCCTTAACCTCTCTGTGCCTCAAATGGGGACCATACAGGGCCTACCTGAGACAGAAGGTTGTTCTGAGGGTTATTAAGTAAAACCTGTCCAGTGCTGGGCACACAGCAGTCCCTGGGTAAGGACTGGGTACTGTCCATGTTGCGAGTGGAGTTATCAAATGCCCCTAACCCTATCTCCACCCTCAACTTTGAAAGGCTCCCCAGCATAAAATCCAAGCTCCTTGCCTGGCATCAAGGCCATTCACAATGCACCCTGCTCCCCGTGGCAGCTGGCCTCTGCTCCTGCGGTGCTGAGCCCTTAATAGTTCTTGATACAAGGACAATGGGTCACACCTCCACGCTTGCCGATGCTGGTCCTTCTGCCAGGAGCACCCTCACCTGGTCACCTCATCTCTGCTAAACTCTTGTTCTTACCGTAGGCCTCAGCTAAGTACCCCATCTTCTCCTTTGGGATGGCTTTCGTGCCCCCATCATCCCCTACCAGGGGTGGCTCCCTCCTCTGCCGACCTCCCACCCAGAACACTGGACTAACATTTGTCATGTTCACTCCCTTACAAGATTGGGGACCCCTGAGGGTGGGGATTGTGTCCAGATTCCAGGGTTCAACATATCTGTGGGCATCCACTAATAGTGGGTGACTAAATGAACACTTAACACTAACGACACTGACAGAAGGTACTGATTAGTAAGCACCTCCCATGAGACGGGCTCCGTGCTGGGTGCTTTGCACAAGGCACCTCATTTCAGCCTCACAGCTGCCACAGAAAGTGGGGAGTACTAGGAAGCCCACTGCCCAGGCCCAAGTCCTGGGGGGACTGTCCAAGGCCACCCAGGAGAGAAGGGGCAGAGCAGAGCTGGGAACTCAGGTCTCAGCTGCCCTCAGCTGTGCCCACAGCCAGTGCCCTGCCCTGCCTCACTGCAAAGGTCAGTCTTAGGCTCCCCCACATCTCCCCAAAACTGCACCCAGCTGGACAGCTGACAAGGTGTACTGACACCCACTACCTCCTTTGCGGGGACAAGCCACACAGCACCTGAGAGACTTCATTTCCAGCCTAGGCTGCCCACTTCCTGGCTGTGGGACCTCAAGCAGGTAGTAAGCAGAGAGGAGAGAGACCCCCAGCAAGCAGTGAGTGGACAGGCACGGGTGGCAGCTGTCCTTGCCCGGGAACAGGTGGAGAATTAAGCTGAGCACACAGAGGGGGTAGCACCTTGGCTCTCCAAGTGGGAGCTGATGTTCCTTTACTGATCTGCATCATAATCATCTAAGGTGGACATACCCCCAGTTTACAGATGAGGAAACTGAGGCCCCAAACGCTGAAATGATTTGCCCAAGCTCACATACTTAGTAAATGACAGAGCAGGGGCGCAAACCACTGCTTTCAGATCTAGAACCTTCCCCCAAATCACTTCCAAAACTTTCTTACCCCTAAGGCAACCTAAATCCCTCAGGATGCCAGTCCAAGTGATAATAGCCAGCATTCACTGAGCACGTAACCATCTGCCTATGCTAAGCCGTGTACTTGCACTAACTCATTAAATTTCATAACCCTAATATGGGTGTTATGATTATCCCATTTACAGAAGGGAAACTGAGACCCGGATAGCTTAAACGACCTCCCCAAAGTCACTGTTAGGAAGAGGCTGGGCTGGGGTTAGAACATGGGCAGCCTGACTCCAGACCCAGTGGCAAGTTAGGAGAGAGGTCTGGTTATGGGTAAAAACTGGAGAACCCAGCTGGGAATCCAAGCCAGGGGCCTCCTAAAGCCCATGCCTCCCCCCTCCCCGATCCCCCACCCCAGCCTTGGGCCCTGCCCGAGGCCTGGCCATAGGCTGCCCGTTCAAACATCACCTCCTGCGGGACACGGCTTCATACGCTGCTCCCTCAGCTCGCTCTTCGGAGCAGGGCTCGGTGCCAGACCCAGCGCCGGATGGCTCAGTACACAGACAATTACCATGGCGCGAAGGATGCCCTTCAGTAATGAGATTAATGAAAATAATAGCTCATGTTCACGCCACACTCCCTATAGTCACTGTTGAGAATGTTTTACATATATTAACTCAGGCAATTTTCCCCACAACACTCAGAGGAGGTTATTAGCTCTGTTTGACAGTGGAGGAAACTGAGGCCCAAGGTCTCCGCACTATTAAATGGTGGGCACCCATTTTCTGGGAATTTCCTGCACACTGAAGAAGGAAAGCAGCTGTCATTGACTGAAGACTGACTTCATTTTAAACCTTACCATCTCACTGAGGATCAAAGAGATTTAATGCAGTATCGTATTTTCTGCCTATTAAATCGACAAGGTAGATAGAACCAGAATATTACCACCTTATCTTCTCAAGAGGGGTGAGAGTGGAGCAAAGCTGGGCTTTGAATCTGGAGCTAAA